TATTAGTTTGAAACAAAAATAAAATATTACAAGAGAAATAATTTATCTTTTCATTGTATATGGAATATAACTTTCTGTTTTCGTAACTCCAATTCAATAATAAACACTTTATCTTAGCTTGTTTAATTAAAATACATACTTTGTGTACAAAAAAAACACAAAACCTCCAAAAAGTCTGCCCGAAAATATCGTAAAATGTGCTCAGTAGTGACTAGCTTCTTTGTGAGGAAATTCTCGCAGTTCTAGTTGAGAAGACGTGACCAATGGAATTCAACCCTGTTGGGTGTAGGCAGTAACTACCACACAACAATGGGTGAGGTGGCGCAAAAATCCGTAGATCAATCAGAGTTAGACATTAACACCGTTGGATATCAGCCGGACCAGTGGTCCGATGGTTAGGCGTTCGCGTACAATACTGAAGGTCCCGGGTTCGAATCCTGCGAGGTGCAGGAGTAGTGGATGCACACTGCGACTGATGAGTCCCATACCAGGACGAAACTGTCGTCTTTCAGTGCTTCCAGGTGGTCTAACAATGATGGATTAATGATTTCAAATGTGTAAAAAATACTTTGTTAAACCCTACACCCACACACACACACACTTGTTTCACCAACGATCCCATTCCTTCAATGCTGTACAATTTCCTTCACTATATTTGTACATCAACTAGACATAAATGAGCGCAGAAATGTGTTATAATTGATTAGTGGTTGATGTTGAAAAATTATGTCATATAAATAGCGAACTAGTAACACTAAGTGTTTAATTTTATGAATCAGCTGAAAAAGAAAAGCCTTGTTTTAATCAATAATTAGTATTAAATCATCAGTACAGATCATATGAATTATATTTCAATTTATATATATATATTGTATGAATAACAAGGGGTTGGTTGATAGTTTTGAGTTTGAAATTTAGGAGATGCTAATTTTATATATTGGAACACGTGGACATATGTATATATACGCTGTACAAATCATTGAATTTGTATATGCAGGCCTGGGATACTGTCCTGTAAACCAAGAATTTTGGTTTTGTTAGGGAATCAGTTCCTGAGCATTGACCTATGAGTCTAGTCTACAAGGCAGTGGAGCAATGTTAAAAGGGGTGCAGTTCCGTGGTAGTCGGTGACCAACAATAGACTCATACGCCATTATTTCGTTCAAGATCATGAAACTGATATGCTACAATGGTTTGGAATGAAGGTTTCCTAACTTCCCTATACCTGTTTTCTGGCATAGATTGGGAAAAGAAGCTTAGGTGACCAAATCAATAGGAATTCGGTTTGACTGTGGATTTGTGCAGTTTTATCAAATACACACTACCTGGTTTTAATTCATATGGTAATCGTATTCAGTGATTAGTAACGTTGAGTGACTGGTGTGTTGTACAGTGTCTGATACTGTTAGAGCTTCCTATATACGAGCTCAAATCGCTATTTTAGTGAAAACAGCTTTTAATCGCCAAACTGAGTCGATATATATATATATATATATATATATATATATATATATATGTTTCATTTGTTAGGGCTGGAAGCCATATCTTGGTGAATTGCGTGCGCTTCACATTTGTCTGATGTCTGGTTGACTCGACAAATCACTTTTCCTTCCTATGAAAAATTAGGTCTAGCTTCTTGTGAAGTAAGGGCACATCAGCGATAAGGTGAAGAAAATCTATCACCCTGACAGGAAAATCTATTCCGTTAGTTCCCCTGGACTCTTAACCCCATTAAAATATCTTGCTTTTTACTCTAAAATCTTTTACCATATTTACGAATCGTATTTTAAAATGTTTAATTTTTATTACTATTGTATTTAGTGGAACGACGTCTTAATATCTCAATGTGTTGATATTTAATACATACATATTGTCGTTTTGAACAAAATTCTCACTTGGTCTTTTAACTGAGAACTTTTTTTTCATTTCCTTACTACTTATTGAAAATTGATTATCACTTAGTTGTTTCAGGCGGTAAGAAGTTAGCGACAAAGAACATAATTAGCATTCATTGTTCATTTTCATCCGTGTTTTTACTCACTTCATATGTGTGTGTGTGCATGAGTGTATTGGTGTAAATTGTACAACCGTTGCTAATAGAATAAATAGAAATATCACTGCTCATCCATGACCCAGTA